AAAAATTAAAAATCTTTTATGGAGATTATACCCACCCCAGTACCACCTCTACCCATCCCCATTCCATCCCATCCTTTAAAAAAATTCAAAAAATTTAAAACGTTTTTTAGAGATTACACCCCAGCCCATGGAATCACCCCAGATTTGTGACTAAATGTATTATCTATAATCATATTCATTTTAGTGACAAGACGTGTTATATGTGACTAACGGTTACCAAATTTGTTTTCAATGTGACTTTCTGTGACATTCTAATTTCTAAATACATGTAACCAAGTCACTAACTTGTGTTATCTGCGACTAATTGTAACCAAATTTGTCTTCAGTGTGACTGTCTATAACCGTCTAATTTGTGATTGTACGCAACCAAGTTACTAACATATATTATCTTTGACTAACTGTGACCAAATCTGTCTTCGATGTGACTATATTTGTCTTCAATGTGACTGTCTATAATTGAGTATTTTAACTGTGACGGTATGTGATTAAGTCACAATCTATCACAATTAGTAGAAAATTGGTCACAACCAGTCATAATAAATACATACTTGATCATAGAGGGTCACCACAAACAAATCTGCACACGTCGCATACCAGCACCACCAGTCACCACCACCATCACCTCCAATGCACCACTTCCACTACCACTACCACCTTCAACTCAAATCCACAACTATAACTAATACCTTCACCTCAAATCCACAACAACAATTGCCTCAAATCCACAATAACAACAACTTACCACTATTATGTCGAAATATAGTTAAAACTTTCATCCATAAGCTACGTGTTATAGGCATGAATGAATCGAAACAAACACTAAATGTGTAAAAACGTTAGACGTATGTTTAAAACGACCATATGTCATTTTAGTTTGAACAAAATAGTGCTGCCGTTATAGTTACCAAAAATCTGATCAAAATAGCTATCAGAATTAATCAAAAATCATCACAATTTCATGATTAAATTCAACAATTAACATTCATCCATCCATAACAAACGTGAATGAACATAAACGAATATTAAATGAGTAAAAACGTCAACCATACATTTAAAACGATTCGATGCCGTTTTATATCGCATTGTGTGATTTCTTCAAAAACTAGTCGATCATAGTTTGAAACATTTTAGAAGACTTGTACATGTTGAATTAACTAATTTTTTGAGT